CCCCCCCCCCCCATGGACAGCCCCCCGCTTACACGTATAGGCCCATTTTATAAATATCCAAAGGCCCTACGCAGTTCTCTTAAGATAGGTCCATTGATTCCCAGTTTCAATGGGAATAACGAGACAGCAAACCCGTAAATGTACAGATAGGAAAAAAAACGATGCACAAAATAGGTTTTGCCAACTTGATTCAAAATTAAAAGACAAACTGCACACGAGTTAACATGGACAATCAGAATATGTCAATAGGGCTTAAGGTGCATGAGATTTTAAAGCCAAACATGAAAAACAAACTAATCAGGCTCGATTTTCCACCTCAAGCTGTATTTTAGTCCTAAGAATCATTCTGGTGAGTCTACGTACAGTAAGTAACAAATTAGAAGATGTGAAGATGAATAAAAAAAGTAGTAAATCCAAAAATGTCTTTCATACAGATCAATCTTTATTGAGACATGATAGCAATAAAACTGTTGAAATGAAATCTACTATGAAAAAATATGTAGAATTAACAAGATTTGAGCACAATGAAGCCTACATGCTCTCTTTGAAACTCCTTTATATTATAGATCATTACAAATCTTGAATAAAATTAAGAATACCGTACTGTGAATGAGTACAAGTCTTTCAAACTGTGGATTTCTTATGTAAACTGATTTGATCATTGAACAGAACAACTTTATAAAATTATACCAAACATTCTAAAAACAAATTATTGTCAGAATGATTTTTATCACATTTCTGTCATGATAGTTTTTTATTATACCTTTCCAGGTTATTTTCATCACATAATATCACTAACTTTACAAAATGCTCTGTTTTGTTCCCAAATGCACATCATCACAAACATGATTTTAATAATTTAAAAATACATTACAGTACAACACGCTATTCTAAATGATAAACAATTCATATTCAGATGCCTCATTAAAATATCTTTAAAATGCACTCTGTATGAATATAGAAAATTAGTGATCAACAAGCAAAGTTTCCTCTTGCAAACTGTTGTCTTTGTTTAAAACGTGAACTTAGTCATCATAAAAGCTATCTTCATCATGAAAGAAAAATATCAATTACATTTGAAACAAGAGAAACTTTAAAGTTGCAATTTCAAAAAATCAATTCAAGGCACTCAACTGGCATAGTGTGACTATAAAAAATAAAATGAACTGTTTCCTTTGCAAACAATTGAAAAATCTTTAAAAAATTAATAATTAAGAAAAAGAGCTACCAGGCAAGGTATCACAGAGGACACTGCATATTACAATTATGCCGCAACTCTTATAGTTGGCTATTGTAAAATTGTCCAATAGTATTGCAATATCCCTCTCGACCAGCAGATTAACAAAACAGTGGATACTACAAATGAATTCCCTTTTACCAGTGGTTTTATTCAATTCCTCATCAAACTGTTATGGCCAAATAAAACCATGATAAAGCCAGCTTTCAGTTGTCTGTCTTGCTTTTTTACTTACACCAAATTAATAAAAAAAGCCTGAGGCTGAACATCCGGCATAAGTGTGTGTGGTGTCAAAAAGATCTGAATTTAGAGGGGATTCACAGCAGATGATCTTCGGATTAAATATGGCGTTCCCTACATGAAAGCAGAGGTGACTAATCCACTGATGTTCTCCCTGCCTCCACAGGCGCTGTCCCTGCAGAGGTCTAGCAATTAAACCTCAGAGCCTTGATTAAATCTGTTTAATGGGGTGTGCGACGGCAGGGAGACCAGCAGCGGATTAGTTGGCTCTGCTTTCATGTAGTTATACCACAGTGAACATAGCAAAGAAAAGAAAATAATTAGTGAGCAACATCTGTCACCTTTGACAATTTCACTTTAAATATACAGTTCAACTACTTAAAAAATGACCATGATTGAAGATAGAAATTTGAAACAGAAATATTGATAAAATATACATATATCAACTCTTCAAAGATTTTCTTGACTTTCATGAGCTAATCCTTGCAGCACTGTGAAAGCAGTCCTGAAAAATAAAACAAACTCTAGATTAATGAAGTCACTCAACTGCAGAAATTAGGTATATAATCTTATTCGCCTATAGAATGACAGTTTCATTGACTGTTGTTAAATTGCTTTTCAATTATATATTTTCATGATGATATCTGCCACATGAGAGATTATACTAGTGCCATCTTCTCAAGGTTACAAGTACTAGACAACTCCCACAGACTCTGAGACTTAGACTCTGAGACTTAGTCGACTAAGTTGCATTATACAAAGCTTTTACAAAACTACTCATTATCTCATTTTTTCCATCTGTTAACTGAAATTTTTGAGCAAATTGTGACTGTTTCAAATAAGGTTTTTACACTGTCATTGTTTACCAGGGCCCATTTAGGTATGTTAAACACATTCACTGTAGGCTTGTCATTCTTAAAAGCTTCATCTGACTATATATCATGGGCTACCATGAGTCCAAAAACTGTACAATTTTTGTGGAACAAGCCTCTGGACTAATTAATGAAAAATTAAAACAATTACTGTAATGTGACACTATAAATTAAATGAGTAAACAACAGACCTAGGTGCCCCATAGTAACTGTTACTTTTTCCCTTAAATTGGCTCAATTTATTTATCTCATTCAACTACTAGTTTTAGTTACTCATTGGCCTAACTCTATGACAAGTGACTTCCATAACAAATGTTGAATCATAAAATAATAATAATAATGCATTCTTACCAATAAAAATATATATGCTATGATTCTAGCGTGTTCAGATAGTTAATCCGTTGATTGAAGTACTTAAAGAAATCCATTAGGACCCCTGACATAGCCTGGTCTATTAAGTAGGTAGGTAACCAACCCTGGAAGGTACAAAATTGAGCACAATATAAAACTGACTTATTGTAAGTCATAATCACATCAGAAAGTTAATTAATTTTAATTCATTCTGAATTATCAAAATAATTCACACAACAGACAGGCATGTGGGAAGTTGAAGATATGTGCATAAATGCATGTACATGTGCAAGCAAGCACACCACACACATACTAGTACACACAGTCTGACACCAATACTCACATACCCCCATAAAGAGACAAATATACACATTATTAGAGATAGGTAAACATATGCACACATTCACATACAAAAACAGTAAGAGAGAGAGAGAGAGAGAGAGTTGGAGAGTTAAAAAAACACATATATATATTTCTTTTTAAAACCCCTAATGGCAAGCTTACCTTGAGATTTGTATTAACTATCCAGACAAATTCACTTTTATTTGGGTCCCCAGGGACTGCTTTGAACACCCAGCACCCTGGACCATTTTCACCTCTGAAAAATACACACCAGACAATTGTCTCAAATTCAAAACAAATATTCCCCTTACCATCTTTTTTACCCCTGTCCCAATAGATCTCAATTAATAGATCTCAATGCAAAGAGAGTCAAGAAAAACACAACTGTGCAAATGACACACACAAAAAAAAAAAAAAAAAAAAAAAAAAAAAAAAAAAAAAAAAAAAAAAAAAAATTCAACCTCTCACCTTACGTATTTTTTCTGCTCTGGCATGTCTGGGTGGGTCACCCCCTTGGAGACTGAAATCATCATGCCATTCATCTCTTTCCAACATCGTAAGTTGACAAAGTCCCTGGCCGACACCATGCCCCCAGCTGCCTCGGCTGCTATATTGTACAACACATCTGTGTGCTCGTCTATTACCTGCAGAATCTGGGAAAAAAAAAAAGAGATTGAGTCAGAGTCATATTATCAGACATGAGCATCAGTTAAAATAAAAACCTTTCTGAACATTCCCAGTGAGACCAAAAACTTTTCTTGATGGATTTTTGGATCCACCATATTGTAAAATAAAAATCTTGGGAATTCTGTGATCACACCGAAAAATGTTCCTGTCTGCGATGCGGCATCAGACTCGTTAGAGATAGGAACATGATAAACACTTCAAAATGCCAAAAAAAAAAAAAAAAAAAAAAATTAAATCCCTTTTAAATGAAATTATTATAACAGATTTTCATTATTTTTCTCTTGCCAGGAGTTTCAAGTATTAATCTTAACTCAGAGATTTAATGTGCGTTACTGATTTCAGTTTTTATAATTTCAATAGCTCTTACCTAACACAAAAGAAATTATGTATTTTTTTCTACATTAATTTACTTGAACAAAGTATCACAATTATCAGTAAACTCAAGACAATGGAATTTAACAGAGAATAATGTAATATTTGAGGCAATTTAGTTCACCTTCTTCAACATTCACAAAGGTTAAAAAGTAGCCCAATTCATATCCAAAGTTGACAAGACAGATAAATTTATTTTATTTTACTCACCTTGCTTTCCAAAACTGTTGGATTCCACGCAGGTGAATCTTCTGTGTTAAAATATATTTCTTCAAAACCTTTCTGTGGAGTGGTATTAACTACACCCTAGAACAAAACATAATAAATATTATGTTCACTTTCATTTGTCATTTCTTCAGTTCAGAAAGCTGACAAATCAAGACCTCCACCACAAAAACTGACTGAACTTTATTATGACTTACATGTACAAATACGCAGTTTCTAATTCTATACTATTTAAATCGATTTCTTAAAATCAATTTTTGCTTTTTATTCATTTTTAGTTTGTGTTATTTTTACTGTAATGTAAATTAAATATCAATATTATTATTATTATTACCAAAAGATTTACACCTGTAGTAGTTGTTTTTTAAGAATAAACTATTTATCTTCATATCCAGTTGTACACAAAACAATGTGAATGTTTTTATTCAAACCCCATGTGAAACAAAGGGGATATTTTAATTTTAAAACAAACATAGGGTTTTCTTGACACATATCTGTACAATTTTATAAAGTGTACAAAAAACCTACATATCTGACATCCACTGTATAGTACATATTTTTTCCAGAAAAGAAGATTTTCTGAAAGGACAATTCAGATCTGTTATTTTAAGTCAGTCAACTGTATCCCTTACTTTGAGCTTGAAAAATTTTCCTCCCAATTCGGGAAGTTGTTTACTGTAGACACAACCCGAGGAAAGGTCCTTCTCATCTCCATTATCCAGCTTCCATCCTTCCTCATTCTCATATAACTGCATCGCCGTGGCAAAAAGGCCTCCAGCTAATCTCTGGTACTCTTGTTCCTGGTGGAGAAAAAAAGGAGTAAAATTATAAACCTTTCTTATACATTAACATTGACCTCAAAATGTAATATACATGATAAACACTTTTACAATGAATTAAAATGGTAATTTTTAATCTGTTAACTTGTTATTGTACATTTGCCCAGTACAACAAGATAATATCATAAATCATGAACATTTTTTTCTCCATGACCTTTTTTCAGACAACAGTCTGGGTTTTGAAAAAATAACTGATCATTTAGTGTGGGACCAAACACTTAGTAATCGTTGGCTCAGTTCCCAGAACTGAATGAAAAATTGCAGAATTGTGTGATTTCCCCCAGCCCGCCCTCCAAAAAAGTCTCCGAGTCTGTATATTCCCAAATTTCAAATATTGTCAACAGTTTGGTGTTTATGAGTATAACTCTATAAGTTTGCCTTCTGACACGAGATACGCCATTTACAGTTTAAGCTGTTCGGGTATGAACTCAAACTAAAACTACCTGTGATCCTAACGAAAGCTGGTTGGAATTTCTACTTGAAGCTCTGCTGTTGACCGATGACGGTGGTATTGAATGGTACCTTTTACTGCCTTCTTCATCATCTGAATCTGAAAGTAAAATAAATAGATTAAATAAATAAAATAATTTTACTTATTAATCAATCAAAATAAATCAAAGCAAATTAATAAGTAATAATTCAAAGCCAGTTAAAATTGCTGTGAAAAATATCAGTGAATTAATTATGATATCCATACTAGTATTTATTTTTCACTGAAAAAGCAACAGATGTCTGCAGACAGCCAGGGGCTGGACAGGTCATCAACAAACCTATGTGCACTTGTCACTAGATGCCTTAATACCCTGTTGTAATGGATTCAAATAACAATTGTTTCCATTTCCTCTGTCAGATCTATACAGATTTCTACAGAATTCAAGCACCCACACCAATATCCAGAAAGTGGTAATAATTCAGTTTATTTGGACAGCATCAATTATTTCCCTTCACAAAATTTGTTTGGTAAGTAAACTTAAAAACATTGACTCCAAAGATTTTTTAAGTTGGTTGGCTGTTGTGTCTGAAAGTGATATTAAATATTCAAAAAGTGAAATATTAGCAAATGTCAGGTTTTTGAAAATTCCCAGTAATTATGTCCCATAGTCATTATACGGATAAATTCTATTTACAGGGATGAGACTGTCATTCAGTGAAAATGGCAGAAAATATGGCATGGGGTCAAGGGAAACGCCTAGATCAATGATATTTTTGACTGCTAAAAAGTCGGAAAAATCTCATCCCTGAACTTAAGTCCTATATGATGTCAATTTTTCAGTCACAGCCACAATAAAGTTACTCACCATGCGGGGTATGATATGGAGAATAGTACTGGTCATTAGTTTCAGTGCCACCTATACTTCTGTGGTCGCCACGACCCAGGAGAGACGTTCTCTCATCTAGTACAGCACCTCTTGCTTCAATCTCAGCTGGAAGTAAACACAGTTAACACAGTTAAGCAAAATTATGATTATGATAACACAATTGATATTGGGTGGTGGTGAGGGGGAGGGGGGGGGGTGACTGTCAACATCCACAGTCAACTGTGGAAGGGTCCTGGATTGATCAGCCACTGCAATCAGACTGCATGCTATGAATTTCTAATCTTATCATACAAAATATCTACAGCAAACAATTTTCATTTTCCTTCACAGAATCAACTCAAGGTCACAAAATCAGGTTCCATGCTATGAACTTCTAATCCTATCATACAAAATATCTACAGCAAACAACTTTCATTTTCCTTCACAGAATCAACTCAAGGTCACAAAATCAGATTGCATGCTATGAACTTCTAATCTTACTATACAAAATATCAACAGCAAACAACTACAATGGTTTTCCTTCAGAGAATCAACTTCAGGTCACGAACCTCGCTTTTCCTCAGGTAAAACCCTGAAGTCCAGAAACCAGCATTCTACCCAGGCCACCACAAAGGAAATTATGATAAGAACGTAGTCCAGTGTGTTCTGTCCACTGGCTAGATCTTCATCAAACTGGAACAGACATAATAAGTTATGAAAAAATTTATATAAAAAAAAAATCATGATAAGTAATGAAAAATTTTACATTAAAAAATCAAATTAAGTAATGATAAATTTCATATTAAAAAATCAAACTAAGTAGTGAAAAAAATTTGTATAAAAAAATCATAATAAGTAATGAAAAATTTTATAATAAATCATATTACACTAATAAACAGTAATTAAAATGAGTACTGATTTCAGACAGAAATAATTATCGACAACAAAATTTTATTTTATTATAAACTGTAAAGGCTGGCTAGGTCCTCATTAAACTTGAACAGACATAATAGGTAATGAAAATAATATATATCAAAAATCATATTACTTTACAGAATTTAAAATGAGCACCAATTTCAGACAGAAAGAATCTACAGCAAAAGTTTATTTTATTATGAATTGTAGGAGTCTCACATTGAACATGAACACTTTTATCAGCAGAAATACACAGGTGCCAAATGTTGTTAACTGAAATGTAAAAACAAACAATTATAAATATAAACTGTAATAAAATTGAAGTGCTGTGTTTATGCATATGTCAAGCTCAACCTAACAACAATGGTAAATCCATATTGATGACTGAATGAAAATGGTAATCTTTTTTGTCAAATTTTTAATTAAAAAATACAAAGAAATAATTATTTCAAAAATTTTACTAGTGTTGTTCTATGTTGTCCCTGTGCAGTTTCCCTATCACTTATAATAACTTTTTTTCCCAATCATTTCACCTTCAAGTACCCCGACAGTTTTAAATGACAAATTTACCAATTATAAAGACAAGGCTAAATGAAGAAAAAAACTTTCCACTACAAAAGAGGACTGTACAGAAGTTGAAGAAATAAGAGAGAGAGAGATGAAGGAAATAAGCAAGAAGTGAATTACTAACAGAGAAAAATTAAGAAAAATAGCTAAAGACAATATTTTCTAATCATACAAAATAAAGACTTACTGCCACCAGCCATGGGTTTCTCATATTCAGTGCAGCATATGAAAAGATGAGGACTAGAAAACGCCAAAACGATAACAACTGCAAGACAAAAATACAAATTAACTGTTAAAACTGTACTAGTATTTAGATTGCATCTCACATTTTCTTACAGAAAAAGCAAAAAATAAATAAATAAATAAATAAATAAATAAATAAAGTAATGCTTTAAGCTAACTTGTTACTTTTATTATGTAACATGTATTAAAGCATTTTTACTTACAGGAATGTCAAATAATGACTGCTTAAAATCATATCCCTCCACTTCTTTCATAAAACGCTTTGAAAAAGTCCCTGCATATGTAGACAGCTGAAAGCATCAAAGATAATGAAAGAAATGTCGCTCTCATGGGTGAAAGATGTGAAAACTGATCATCCTGAAAACGTAGCTTGCAATTTCTCATCACATTTAGGCCATAAAAAAAAAAAAAAAATGAAGACTGAAAATTCTGAAATTAGGCATAGTCCTGAAAACTTTCATGCATGCATTCTGTGCATTAACAGAGAAGGTTGGTGTACACACACACATACACTATTACTACAGGGGCAGATTAAGACCGTCTTCTTGGTCTTCCAGAAGACGGTCAGATTTTCAAGTTTACATAATAGACGGGTATCTAATTTTTCTGTCGGAAGACAGTCAAATTAAAATGAGGTTGGATCGATGAAGATAATTTGGAAGACTGTCAGAAAATATATCTGGATCCGCCCCTGTACTAGATGGCGCCGCTTTATGAGCTCTCCCTGCAGAGTGTAGTCATGCAATTCATTAATTCATATTTTACCTCCGCCAAGGAGGTTATGTTTTCACCCCTGTTTGTCTGTCTGTCATCAACATAACTCAAAAAGTTATGGACCGATTTTGATGAAATTTTCAGGAACTGTCAGAAGTGGGCCAAGGAACAGATGATTAGGTTTTGGTGGTGATCCAGATCAATAATCAATCAATAATCAATAATTATAAAAAATTGCTGCCTTGGCAGAGGTCTGCGCTTAAATTATCATTACACTGGGTTCATGGCAAGACATCAGACACTCACCTGAGTATATAAAATCCACAGCACAAACAGCAACAAGACATCAAAAGTGACCATGATACAAAACGCCCTCCGACTGGTGGACATAGGTTTACAACATGGACAGGGATTGGTCTCGTAGGCCACTGATGATGATAATGTTGTGGAGCCATATGTTGGTGCAGTACCTCCATTAGCATAAGAGTTGGGTCTGAAATTTAAGAAGTTTGACTGATGTTGTTTAAAACACTAATTAATATACTTGCAATCCTCTCTTTGACTCTATAGATCTCTCTCTGACACACACATGCACATGAATGCACAAACATACAAAGGCATCTTCTCTTTCTCTCTCCCTCCCTCTCTCACTGGCATGGACACACACACACACACACACACACACACACACACACACACACACACACACACGTAGACAACAAATATATTCTCTCTTCTCTTTATCCTGTCTGTCATGCACACAAACGTACTTGTCATTCTCTTTCTCTCTAATACACACACACACACACACACACACACACACACACACACACACACACACACACGTTTCCATCCACCTTGTCCCTCTGTCACCCTATTACCTGTTATAATTGTATGGTGCTGAACCATGGTAAAGGAGACGTCCTGCTTGTTGTGCTACCTCCTCGCGCTGTCCCATATCTCCAGATGCCTAAAATTCAAAGATATAAGTTACAAGTAACATATTAACCTTTCTTTAAGGCTCAAATCTTTTTTCTTTTGTCTTCCCTCAAGGGCCTACATGTGAGGGTTAAAACAAAGATAATGCATACTACGTGAGATAATTAAGTGAACAACAAGTGTGAAAAGAAATGTACCAATGCTATTTGTCAAATTTATGCTTGATGACTCGCTTGTTTATTATTAACCTTACTAGACTACTAGTAAAATAAAAGCACTCAGAGAGCACAAGCCACTGCCAAGCATAGGTGCTGAATTATCATCAATAAATCAATTAACAGATCACCAAAAAATGATAAAAAAGAAACAAAAACTGCTTTTTAGTTTGCCAATTTCTAACCTATCCTGAACAATTTACCAAAATTAATCCAGAAATTATTGGCTGAACATTAACCTCTTATAAAAACCCAACAAAAGCCAAAAGCATAACATCCTCAATAGATGCATTTATTTTAGATTCAATCCACAACATGTATAAATAATTACTGTACAACTCATTTGACCTACTGCTTCAAATTTGTTTTTGCATTTTTCTTCCACTGATGGCCACAGATATAGATTAATTTAGAACCATAACTCTTCAAAATGCTGTGAACTTTGTAATATATACAACCAGAAACTCTCCAGCTGAACTTTGGACTTTTGAAGTATGAATAAATTAAATATGAATGTTGTCAAAATTTTCATCTCAATTATCATATATTTTAAACAAAGAAGTCTCCAATGCTTGAAGTGAAAGGGTGCATGTTTTTTCATACACTTGGCCAACTCCATCCTTTGAATCCCAGCTAAATTTTGAGCACAGCATCTCTTTTTTTTTTAAATTATAGAAAATACTAATTATTTAGAGCATCATAGTTACTACTTGTTCAGCAGAGAACAGCAACAAAAGAAAAAAAACTGCAGTGCTTTTAGAGAATGGAAAATTACAGTGAATCTATGAAAGCATCTTATAAAAAAATTCAAGTTGTTAAGCTTAAACTCCAAGCCAGTGTGTCTTGGAAGAGCCAAAAAGTCATGGCCAATAAAATTCAAACTGGGCAGCAAGCACGCAAACATAAAAATAAGTGCAACAGAACTGAATCTGGTAGATATAAGCATTCCAAAGCAACTGAAGTAAAGAAAAAACATTAAAACAACCATCAGAACTAATTCTAAAGTGCTTTGTGGAAAATCAAGCAAGTGTGGAAAATTTTAATGTACCTGATAAAAATGTGGCCTAGAGGACTGTTAACAAAGAAACAGAAAAAAAAGAGAATAAACTCACTTTTAATATGTAATTGCACAAAAGATATCAAAATTTATGAAATTGTGCTCAAAGAAAAGTGTATCTACTCAAAATGCAATTATGAACTTTTTCATAATTGTATATAGACTTCATTCTCTTACTGAATTTCAATCTGATCATTTGATACAATCTCAATGAGATGTCAAAATAAAGCTACTAGTACTAATAAATTTAAAATCAAAGTTACTAACACCCCATTCTACCTATATGAAAATGTGAAAGGCCTACTGGCTACACTTACAAATAAGAGAAAAAAATTACAAACAAAATTACAGCAACTTTCCTTCATGTGTGCGTGTGTGTGGGGAGGCAATGTTGCAATTTTGGATATGAAATGGTAAAGCATACATAAGTTGAGGTAGATGCTGTCAGTACAATAACTGCTTTTTAGACAACTCTACCCTAATTTCAAATTTTAAAAAGATGTCTGGTTTCACACCCCAGTCATATCAATGTTAACCCCATTAAAATAATCATATGTAAATAGTTCCCTCCATAAACAAATATTTCTCTTGTGACATTTAGGCCAACATAACTCTGGATAATAAGATATAAATGCCTTATCTAAAAACATAATTCTAAAACAAAACAACTGATCATGTACTATACTAGAAATGATTTTTGAAAAACACCTTAAAGCTGACATTATCAAAATTTAATATTAAACGACTTACAAAAAAGAAAAAAAAAAGCTGTATGACTTGATTGTACTGTAACCCTTGTTTACTGTTTGACTTGTTAATTTCCCTAATAATGCTAAAATTATCAATGGGGAAATACATTTTAAGTTTGTTCTTAATTACTAGTGTGTGTGTTTGAGGGTGTGTGTGTGTGTATATATATATATATATATATATATATATATATATATATATATATATATATATATAAAACCATGATATCTTGCAGGTCTACATCTGCGCAGTGCTGATTATAAAATTTTACTATATATCCTTACATTATATATATTGCCTCTGATAAAACTGGATTCCTGTGTCTTCTTCCAATAAGACATTATTTCAATTGTCCATCTGGTCTACAAATCAATCCTTCAACTAGCAGGCTTCTGTCCAGTTTGATGGCAAAAAATGATTAAAGACATCAGACTTCTTTAAAACCAGGTACACAAAATATGTAAACGAATGCTTTTGTGACTACGATATGGATTGATTCCACGAAGCCCATTGTGGCAGAACATGCAGTGCAATACTGTCAGTTTTTAGGAACTACTATTTTGAAAAACCTATAATAAAGAATTTTCACCACGAAGAAACGAGTCACTTCAACCAGTCTCCTGACTGTGAACTCATCACTCAAAGGTAACTTGGTGTGACATGGTGTCCTAAATAGACCGTTAATTTTCCTGATGACCTGGATCACTGTTTACACAATGATATTATTATGACATACCACATGGTCATGAGGTATGTTCACACTGAAGATAGGTCTACTGCTCTCACCTGACAGCAAGCAAAATCCAATTTCCAAAGTTGGCAATGTACCTTGCCCATAACAGGCATGAGAATGAGAATAAAAATTGACTAACTTTTATTAATTACTGTCTTAAAGGCTCTATTCCCATAGATTTTAGATCGATCTATCCCCGAGGGGAGTCTCACTAGATTACTTTCAGATAATCCGACTTAAATGTCCGTCCCGCCTACTACAAGCTATAAGGGGTAATTAACTTTCGTGTCCGCCCAGCTGACAGCTATTTAGCGTGAACCCCCAGGGAGTTAGGTCGATCTAAAGTAGGTCGATCTAATCTATGGAAATGGGGTGTAAGACACAGCTTGCAAAGGAAAGGTGATATTGAGCGGGGCTGTCCTGTCATTGTAAGCACATTTATCATGTAAACAGATTTCAGTATCAACTGAAAGGAAAGGGGGCGGTGGCCTTGCTTTAAAGAAAATAGAACCCTTTCTTGACTTTATATCAATTTGTACTAAGAAAAAGACAATTACACAAAATGATAACAATATAACATACTGCTAACCATGAATTTAAATGTAAAAAAACTGTGAAACTAATTAAACTGCAATAATAATAATAATAATAATAATAATAATAATAATAATAATAATAATAATATCCTGTAAAAACATCAAAGAGAAATTTGTTCCCTTTTTCCGTCAAGTCACAAGTATTTTTTATCACAAAACTATAATTATAATTATCATGTCCTAAGTTTCTTTCAAACCATTCCTGAACTTCACTAACCAGTTAAGAAGAAGTGCAGTTTTCTTCACTACTTTGTTTTTTCTATTTCTGCCTTATTAAAGCTTTACTTAATAGTTAAACTACATGATATGAATGCGTCATAACACACTTTATCAGAGGCTAGATATAAAATTACAGGGAGATAAAACTTATCTCTAAAACCTAGTGCAGATGAGGTACTAGACAACAATCAGATTAAATAATAAATATCTTTTCCATGGACACCAAGGTAATAGTACAAGTATTATTGAGATTAAATAATAGCTAAAACTGGGGTAAATTACTGCCATAGTTTATCAAATTTTATAAATTGGGTGATCTTTTATATTTGGGAATGAAACAGACATCCAAAAAGGTCTACATTCTTTAAAAATAACTTGTTTAATTCTATTCAGAAAGCTGATCAATTTAATTTTATGAATTAAGCCATCATATATGTGATGTAACTGACAACCAGATATGTCACTCCATACCTCAATTGTATAGTTCAGAAAGTTTAAATTCCATGATTCAGTTTTGTTATTAACTCTCTCTAGAAGTCTGTTTGATAATGTACTGATGTGGGAGGCCACCTGTAGGAAGCTTTCTAGTAAATAAACTCTATTTTTAAGTAATTCATTAAAAAAAATAATTTCTATAAATCACTTATAAAAGAATAAATCCAATCTTGTGCTTGTGTATATTAGATAAAGAGAGAAAAAAGTTGTTAAATAGAGAGAGAGTTTGTACCAATCTCTGAAAGGTAAAATACAACAGCATGTTAAGATCTAATATCATTCTAAGACAATAGCATTTGTATACAGAATGCGGTAAAATGGCACCTGTTCGAACTCTTTAATATTATTATACTTTTTCATATTAGAAAAATATGAGATATAAACATTAAAATAAAGGCCAGTCTGAGTATCAATGTCTGTGGTGGTAGTACCCTGTCCATGGAATATTTCCAATTAAGAGCAACAAATCCAGTAAAATTGAAAGTGGAACTGAAACCTATATTTTCAGAAGGCATTTTACTGACCCAAAACATGACTAAGATCGCATTCACAACGAGTTGAGCCAGGCTTTACAAATCCTGGGGACTAAATATGGCGGTCGTACATGAAAGACAAAAACCACCTAATCTTTTAATAGTCTCTCCGCCTCTCACACGCCTCCCCACACGTCGTCCCTGCGGGGGGGCAGTCATTAAATCTCGGCTCCATTGGGACGACACATGTACGTCCGCCATATTTAGTCCCCAGGATTTGTAAAGCCTGGCTCAACTCGTTGTGAATGCGATCTTACTGTTCCATGGACTAAACCCTGTTACATAACATCGAAATATCCGTTCTCTATTATTATCTTTTTATCTCTTATGTTGTTTTACGGACTTTTACGTTTAACTTCGATAAAAGACATTTATTAATATACTATATTTCTACACATATACTTTTTACGAATGAAGTAGGGAATTATTTAATCCATGAAAAGCACATATTTTTGTTCTTAGATATATTGTTACACCGAAATTGAACTAAAAACCACCAACAAAACGAACTGTGCAGATAAGTGCCCTTTGAATTATGGTGTGACAATGCTATCTATACAAATGAAGAAAGATAACAGGGAGAGTGACCTAGACCTAAGTGAATAGGTGTATGTAAACTTCCCCTTTGCTCCATGTTGCAAAATGTCGATGATCGACGGTGTTAGCGACGACATAACTTGAAACTATCGAAATATGCTATAGGCCCAGAGGGTCAGAAAGTGAGGTTAAAGAATTGATACTAACACTTACTGTGTTTATTGACATTTTTCAGAACGCCTGACATCTCCCTGTGAATGGAACTGGGCAGAAATAAACATATACATGTATTTATAGTAGGAAGTCTGAGAAGCAGGAGGTCGCCATGTTTCAATCGCCTGACTGACCTTTGGCATGGGAGATAAGTGGCCGTCGATGTTATCGTCGCACCTGCTGCAATGCGAGCACTCGGACCTACTCGGATGTTACCCTCTTGCCCTTGTGTTTCCCGCAAGCGAACACGCCCTTTCAAATTTTATCTTCTTAAAAAGTTAAAATGTTATTATTGTTATATACCGTTATTATTATAATATACCGTAGCTCTGGTGACGAGACGACGAAGAAAAGCAAACTAACGGGTGAGTTGAAGCCCACTGTCAAACATTGATCAGCAAATCAACTGTTAAAAAATATTCTCAGAATTTCCACATGCCGAACACAGAAAAACATTCATTAACATTTCTGTTATTATTAAAAACTTCCAATTAAAGTACTACTGACCAGAAAAAAGCCGGATTTACAATTGGAAGCAAATCTCGTTCAATAATGCACACAATAAGCAATCTCGCCTCACACAACGCGTCACAATAATGTGTATTTTAACGCGTTTTACAATGTGTGAGTTATTTAAAGCGATGCTAACTAACATGTAGAGGAAGAAAGTTTCGTCACAGATAACGAGCAGGCATTTTATTTTTTATCATATTTATTTATTCATACTGTATATATAAAGGCGTAAATGGCTGTTATGGAATATCAATCACCAAAATCACTTAAATATACATACAGGGGTTCAACAATATATTTTTGACAAACATTTAAGGCATCTGCTATTGCACAGTTTATGTATAATATCATCTTTACCACATACTAACGTATATAAGATCGGAGAATCCTCACCAATGGGAAATATTGGGATAGGTAGTACCGGTAATTTGAAACGACACGGCATGTTCTGTTTTTGCTTTTATGTGAATTTGACCTGCCTTAACAGAAATTATGATCATGTAAGGCCAGGAATTAAGATAGTAAGTGATCTTGATGGTGGTAAACATTGATGAGGTTTTTTTCTGATGGGGTTGAACAAATTTTTTGTGTTGAATATCACAAAAGCCTACATGGCAAATTTCTATGTCAACATTAGTTTTTTTCTTAAAAATTACTAATTCACTGATTTTTGCAACTATGAAAAAGTGTGACCTTCCTAGTACTAACCGTCTTTATTTAACAACATTAATACAAAAAATAGATCAACAAATTACCACATAAAAAAGTGCACATACATTTATGTCAGCCTCTAAGGTACTACATCAAATCAGGAATTTAACAACATCGTTTAAAACATCTCCAAAAAGACCTATGCCAACCTTTGTAGACTGCCGTCCGGTTTCAAGCACCGTTAAATCATCATGTCTATATCTTGAATTTTACAGTTTGGCCATTTTAGGGTTGATATGACAACAGCATTTACGGAATACCTTTAACTTTAGTTCTTAACGAGGGAAAATAAGCCTGTAAGTCAAGTTTAACAGCGGCATGATCCTTGAGAGAGATAGAGAGAGAGAGAGAGAGGGTGAGCGGGACAGCAAGATAGGTTTAGTTGGTTGTGTTGGTGGTGGGTTTGGTGGATTTGGACAAAACAAAACCGGAGAAAAACCCTTCAACTTTTTCTTTGAACATCTGACGGAATCGAGAACCGCAAAACAAGATGACGGGCAAACATGTGCTAGTGTGGATCAGAAAACTTATTCTAGAGACTGCTTCAAAAGTGCTGATGATATCAAGTGATTCGTTCACAATGTCATATGTCAGGAATGACTGCAACATCATACACACACACTGAGGCCCACAGAGGATAATAAACAACACCGATACTCCAACTAAAGAAACGGTGCTGGCGATCTCCTTGTTCGGGGTCTGGAAAGCGGCCTGGCTTGTGGTAAGGCTCTTGCGTTTTCTCACCTGTGACCATATTCGGTGTATTATCTTGGAATTCATCATCAAAATACCGAAGAAAAGCAGGCAGTAAGCTGACGTGTGGGCAGTGAAGTAAATTCTGTACGCTGTGATGAATTCCACGTTGGACAGGTTGTTGGTAGGGCACGAGGTGTCCTCGCGGATGTGACGGTGAACAGCCAAGTACGCAGAACAACACACAAGGAATAGCAATGAACCGATGATTACCTGTGGAAAGAAAAAGTGGTTTATTCCACTAAAAAAGTGAACATGTGCGTAACGTCGGTGCCGCATACCTGTAATATTTGCATAATTTAGACTTGTACCATCATTTTTCCTGTTTTGTTTTGTTTAGTATATATAATGTGGAAAGAAATCAACAGTTGTTAAATAGTCACGCGAAGCAGTTATGCAAAAAAAAAAAAAAAAATGTGTGCGTCATTTAAGTAAC